TTGAAGAATGGCCTAGAAATATAGAAAATTAACATATATGTATTAAGTTTTTAAACCGCACTCCATTGCGACTTTTCTTATATCTTTGCTTAAAGGTAAATTTGCTGATTAATAACAGCTTCATTTAGATATGAAATATGTTTTATATCACACCAGAGCTTACACCCTCGCTATGTCTAGAAGTGCTCTGAGCAAGATAAGCATGCACGTCCATCTGGAAACTAATGTACTAGTCAGTATTAAACGACCATCATTGCCAAACAGCCATGATCTCTCTGCCAAAACGGCCATTGACTCTCCATTTTTGCTAGTTCCACCACTGTTATCATCTTGCCAATATTCACCTGTGTGAAAAGCACGCACACTGTTTGAAGAATTTTACAAGTGAACCGTGACATATATCGAAATGTGATCAGCGATTTGATAAAGCACTCTTGATTGTGAAGATAGAAAGCGCATAGTTTCCGCGCATGACAAGTCTTGACGCTAGTAGCTCCACCTGGCGTTCATTGAACGTAATCACCCGATACTTCCGGTAACCTTTACCTGACAACCTCGGGCAAGTTTTGGCCAAGTTTGTAGTATTTCTCTCTATAAATGTCTGCATCATATTTACAACTTTTCTCGTACGAACTGCTGAGATTGGCGCAAATGGCAACCATATGCTTTACATCCGAGACAGTTCATGTTTTGGAACACTTCATCAGTTTGTTTATTTGCACTTGGCTTTCACTAAATATAAGCATATGCTGTGAGATTTAGTATAATGTACCCAATCACTTACGTCTTTTTTTTTTTTATCTTTATGGATGGATAAAATTTGAGATTGCCAGCCATAGGTTGTGTTTGTATAACTTTAGTTTGATTACAGAATGGTGTATAAATAATTTCTCAATCTCCACGACGACGTTCTTGTATCATCTCAATAACATATATTTATGTACGACGGAGTTCAAATCTATGAAAGAAACACGATACCACTAGCGATTAAACCTCACACAGATCAGAATATTTGTCGGTGTAGTCAAGCTCGAACATAAGTTAGGCCTACTGTCAAATATTTAATTTAAAATACGAAGAAATATTTTTGCGAAGTGTTCTTCCAGCCACATATAGTCACGTGTGAAATTGAATTTGCGACAAGAACCACGACTTCACTTACTCTCAAATTATCTTAAAAAAAATATAGCTCTCCTAAAATAAAGGTTACCCCTGTAATCTAAAGTACATGTACATGTCCTATTTGGTGTAACCACCTTAGAAACAGACGCGAGATACCAAAACGCACGTGATCAGCAACATAAAATTAACTCACACACTGTCAGTTAAAGCTGACTGTTGCATGTAAAGAACCATAGCCTAGGGAAGCAATAAAAGAATTACATTTTCTGTACCGAGACATCTCATGGCAAACAGGAAGTCGATAATTCCCAACAGAGGAATCCCCTAGCAAACAGGAAGTTAATCGACGCCATATTTAAATGGTTATTGAGCGCATACAGGCTCCTCTACATTAGCCGCTTTCTTATATCTGTTTTTTAACATAACAAACATGGACGGCCTACTACTACTTCCCTTTATTGATGGTAACATCCCGGCTTCCCTAACCTACAGTGTTAGCATATTGCAGTTGATTCGATATTGAAGAGCTTGTTTAGAATATCATAATTTCCATGATGGATGCCGACTCCTGATTGACAAACTTACAACAAAGGATTTCAAAATATGAAGAGTGATGGAGAACTTTATGCAAGTTTTATAGCCCTATCATGATCCCATTTGGAAATATTTGGAAACATTTCCTTGTGTGATATGAGGGTCGATGTTTTAGCTCGTTCGTGTGCCCTGTTATGGCGTTGTCACTACCCCAGTTCTCGGTTTGAGGACGTGACATTGGTTTGAGTTAATCTAGATTTACATGGCTGGTGTCGTCGAGTAAGACGTTTAGCCTTCCAGAACACCTGATCTTATTCTTATACTTTTAAGGGTCTCAATGTTAATCTTTAATTTGTTCATATTCGCGATTGACAGTTCAACTCAAATTGAAGACGGCAATTCAACAAAAAACATGTAAGTCGACACGTAAGCTCAATGGACAAGGAAAACAGTCCAGCTAAAATGACTGATGACAGTTCTGAGCAGAGAAAACACCTTATGCTTTATTAAAGAGCGATGTTTGTGCTTTGTGTTGTTGTTGCTAACCCCCGGTTTCCGGACGTGAGGTAACTAAGATTTGAAGCAGAATACACCAACACTTTCGGAACACCTGGCCTTTATCTCCTTGTACTTTTTAAAGGGTATTTATTAACCTATTTTTTATTGTTCATATTTTGCTCTAGTTTAATCGACTTTTAGCTCGAATTACGGGTTAGATGACATTTCAATATCCTCTTGATGTTTTTCCAGACAGTTCAGTTCAAATGATTGATGAAGACGGTTCAACAGTAATGATTCAGCAAGTTCAAAACATATGAGTCGTCATGTAAGTCCAGCTGAACAAGGAAAACAGTTCAGCTCAAATGAGAGGACAGTTTTGTGTGAGGAAGACAATTAATGCTGTATGAGCGAGGATGACATTTCATTCATGTCATTTGAGCAAGGAGGAATTCCGTGTCACATGAGCAAGGAGACATTTCATGACATATAAGCGAGGAAGACGGTTCATGACAACTGGGCAAGGAGGAATTCCGTGTCACATGAGCAAGGAGACATTTTATGACATATAAGCGAGGAAGACGGTTCATGTCAGCTGGACAAGGAAGAAATTTCATGTCACATGAGCAACGAGATTTTTCATTCATAACGATTGAGCAAGGAAGAAATTCCATTTTTAATAAGCGGGAAGACATTTCATGTCATATAAGCGAGGAAGACGGGTTAATGTCAACTGGGCAAGGAAGAAATTTCATGTCACATGAGCAAGGAAGACGATTCATGTCAATTGGGCAAGGAGGAAATTCAATGTCAACTAAGCAACGAAGAAATTCCATGTAAACTGAGCAAGGAAGACAGATATTGTCATACGACCGTGGAATGCAGTTCATGTCACATGAACGAGTAAGACCGTTCATGCCATACCGTACGGTTGATGAAAATCAATTTCGAATGAAGTAAACTAATATGATAACAGCAATAGGATTGAGAGATGCCACATGTTCTACCGGTACGAGAAGGGACATTAATTTCCTGTCTCAAACGTGGACGGATAACACACTAAATCCACAGTTCTAGGATCAGGGTATCAATATAGACAATTTAGCTCAAGGTAACCGGGTTTTATAGCCGTATTTCATTTCAACAAGATAACAGGATAATTTGTCAATGTCTAGACCAATATATAACGAACGAAATAGGAATACCATTTATATTTAGTTCAACTTCAACGTATATTGCCTCTGTAAGTATGAAGGCACGTATCCGTTATTTTCGAGTGGATATAACGTTATACTTGAGATTTCTGGGTTACCGTCTCATATGAGGTCAATATATAGCAGCTACCGCCGAGTCCTTTTTCATGTTTCACACAGCCTCGTTTTAAATACAGAAATATGAAGTTACGCTGTCTGACATTTAAACTCATGTATACAGAAATGCCGGGGACTCCAAAAATGTGCATTTCTACTATAAGAGAATTGGTATAATACTTTTTTTTGTTTGTTAATCAAAACTGCCACCTACTTACAGATGGCTGGCGAATGGTTATTAAAGTAACTGGAGACTTTGGCGTACATCTTTATATATGACACCATAACTTGACGAGCATCAACATACCTGAATTTTACACACGCATGGACTATTTAAAAGTTTTACGTCCACCAACTGTTAGAAACCTTCATCATACATAACTACTGCAAACATCAAGAATATTTCAATATTTCGAATAGTTTATAAATGTGTTTAAAGTTTACATGTATCAACTATTAGAAACATATATATCCATATCTTGGAACTATCAAAAACACTGCTGACAAACAAATCAAAACATCACGGAACACTTAAAACGGGTGTTTTGTAGTTTATTCAACAGGAGTTACGTGTACAGACTGAACCCTGCCTAATCCGGAAATCTGTGTAAACCACATCTCTCTACTACATCGGTAGTAACCTTTGTTATGTGACATCTGACTACTTTCAGAACAAGCTCTTGCATTAATGATTTACTATCTTATTACCCCCACCCCGATCATTCCACTTTTAGAGTTGACCCCGCTCTCTTATTACCCCAACCCCGACCCAATCACCCCTTGAGTCGACGCCTCTTTCTTATTACCCCCACCCCGACCCTCCCACCCCTTGAGTTGACGCCTCTCTCTTATTACCCCTACCCCGACCCTCCCACACCTTGAGTTGACGCCTCTTGCTATTCACACCTCCTCTAGTTAACCCCTCTCTCTGTTTAAAGCCCATTTTAGTTGACGCCTGTCTCTCTTTGAACCCCTTGAGTTTTCGTCTCTCTCTATTTGCACCCTGGTAAGTTCACGTGTGCCTCTATTTACACCCTTTGAGTTGACGCCTGTCTTAATTTGCATACTGAGTTGACGTCTGTCTTAATTTGCATTCTGAGTTGACGTCTGACGTCGGGGTCTATTTACATGTAGCGAGTTGACGCCTTCTTCACGGAGTTGATGCTTTGTCTAAATATTTACATTGCGTTGAAGTCTGTCTCAAACCTACGGCGTTGACATATGTTCATATAACCTACGACGCTTGTCTCTATTAGCACATTGAGTTGACAAATGTCGCTATTTACGGGGGGCTCCCTTGGCTTGACTCCTCTCCCTATTTACATCCCTCTTGAGTCGACATTGTGATATTTTGCACACTGAGTTGACGCTTTCTTCTATTTGCACATTGAGTTGACGCTTGACTCAATTTACATATTGCGTCGAAGACAAGTCTGTCTCAAACCTTCGGAGATGACTTATGTCTTTATAACCTACGAAGCTGACGCTTATATCTATGTACCCTCTTTAGATGCCGCCTGCCGCCTTTGTACTTACCCCTTGAGTTGCTGTCGTCTGCTCCTATCCTGCTGCCAAGAGTATCTTTGTCGCGCCCGATCCTGAGCGCTTGTGTCCATCACAAAGACCACCAACAGAGCGGTCACCACCAACATCATATCTGTCCTAACATCCAACATGTTCACAATTCAGAAAACAACTCAGAAAGATGCTAAACGAACACTATTTAACACAATCAGAACTCATTACTCATTAAAAACCGAGCACCTGCTTCAGGCAATGGGACTCCAAATGTTGCAGCAATCAACCGTTTCTACCAAACAAAATCTGCAGTGTTCCTTGGCACGGAGATTACACAGGGGAGGTGCAGTTGCTTGCCTAATGCCCTAGAGTGCCGACCGACGTTAGTTTTCCCCCACTCGCGGTCAGTATACCCCGTAGTGTGTGTGTACTAGGTGACATAGGGGTCCGTGTATATACCACTCAGATCATGTTAAGTCCAAAGTGTTTGTATAAAATCCCGTGGGTAATGATCTAACCTACTATATGTATACCGGAGAGTTACTACAAGTGTCGATTATGTATGTAGAAAACCTCCAAATGAAAGAGCGAGTATTTAAGTCTAAAATACACACCAATACGTCCTGATCCGCCGGTACACCGCCAGCCTACTACATTTACTAGGCTGGGTATAGTCTAGCACCTGCGCCGTCAACTCAGGAATTCTTTGGTGCTTATGGGGGTCAACTCTCGACCCTCCCGCCAGAGGATGGGGGACAAGGCTTTCACTAATGGGGGTGTTTGTTTTATCTCACGACCGTCGTCTAAGGTCATGGTGTACATCGTAAGATTGAATCAAGTAGGGTATGATATAAAAGCAAATATGTGAAGTATGCATATTATCAAGGATATTCCTTACTTATCTTTCGGCAGGCGACACTGCTTTTTAAACAGAGTGAAGGTGTCTGTTTAAAAAATTTGATAATTGTTCTGGACGTTTATTTTACTCGCTTAACACAATGACGGGAGATGGTTTAGGACCTTGGGCTTAAATTTTCTGTTTAGACACCTAACTTCGCACGTTTCCTATTTATGGATGTTTATGGACGCGTTTAAAGGACATTTATACGTCTTCAGGTAAACATCGTATACGGATGGGAAACTCTAAATGTCAAATGCACTTAGGGAAACCTTTGCTTTGCATAATGATTACTATTACTTTAAAATATCGGGGGAGAAACTCAGACGAAGGATTTAGTGACTTCAATTAATCACACAAGCAAAACAGCTGAACAGGTATACAGGTAGAAATACAGGTACACATATAACAAAGAAACGCATATTAAGCAAAACCAGCACCGCAACACACAAGAACCCACGTATAACAATATTGCTATTCTCCGACATGGCCCCGGCAGCCTTCCTTTAAAGGTCCAATATACCCTTATCATCACGTCCTGACCTTTACGGATTTATGAATGGGAATTTAAGCCTTGTATTCAAACATTATTTAACAATATGTCAAGTACAAACTGTGCTCCGTGATTAAGAACGTTTCTCACACTTTCTCACAGATACACAGCCTGTTTGTTAACGCCGATATATTGTTGCTTTTCGTAACGCTCTTTACCCCAGCCACCAAACTCGGAACATTTGATACCGGGGGATTACACAAGCGCGTGATTCGTCCGTATTGACACGAAATCTATACAAATATCTTGTAATTAACGCTAATAAAAATCTAAAAAAAATGGGGATATGTTACGATTATGTTCGTTTGAGTAATTTCATTGAATATTGCATACATTGATGGTTTTTGATGGTTTTTGTTTCCATTCCAACCGCAAAGGGACGATTGCGGTGCATAAGTAATTTATCAATATGTTCAACGTGTCGATTTCAAAGGCGAAATATTATACGTGATGATTAAGAGGTTGCTCATAATTTTGCACACCTGTACGAAACACTATCTGGACTCAAATTCATCACCAAGAACACTAACAAGTAATATTTTAATTCCGCGAACTCGGAACTGTTGCAGCTAAATGTATATTTGAACCTCGAAAAAGTCGAATATGCTGTACCTATTAATCGAATTTTTATTACACAAAAATCAAATGTTTGTTAGCCAAAAATCGAATTTCGCATATCTATGCAAAGCTAATATTGGATATGCAAAAAAACGTCGGGATACACAATGTTGATTTTTGGGAATGCAATATTCTTCATGTATAGATAGATATACAGATGTATGTACGTGTTTGAGACACACACTTGCTATGCATAAACATTTCAGATACATGTATACCTGGTAAGTTACAATTTCTCGAACACGAAAATATCAAACTCCCGAATTTTAAATAATTTTCGGTGATTTTTTTTCTCTCCAGATAATAGCACACTCTGAAAGAACTAATCATGCAAAGTCAAGCCTGCTAATGCGACCACCTGTGGTAAGAGACCACCTGTGGTAAGAGACCATCTGTGGTAAGAGACCACCTGTGGTAAGAGACCATCTGTGGTAAGAGACCACCTGTGGTAAGAGACCATCTGTGGAAAGAGACCACCTGTGGTAAGAGGCCACCTGTGGTCAGAGACCACCTCCGTTAAGAGGCCACCTGTGGTAAGAGACCACTTGTTTCCAGTTGTAGTGATTTCAATGCGAATTGAACCAGTTTTGCTAAACTACCTGTGTTAAAAGACCACTTTTAATATTCCCCATTGTAATGGTTTAATGTGAACAGAACTTGTATGAAGAGACCACCTGTGTTAAGAGACCACTTTTTGAACTTCCCGGAGTAGTCATTGAAGACAGATTTTAATATAGATGCAAAGACGGTGGGAGTTTTAGTGCCCTCTACAATTTCATAAACCAGACTTTTGACTGTTGGGACTTTAATCTGTTGTAATATATTAAACATGGCGACTGATCGATTTATCACTTTAATATCTGCTGTCTAATCATTTAATATATACAAAATATGAAAAGTTCCACATTTAAAACTATAAACACCCAGTATAAACACAGCTTCACACGGCCATTAAAGGGTCGCCTATGCTATACATTGCTAACATTAAGATGAACAGCATTATCTATCAAGAGTAGACCTTATTTAGCAGATGAAGTGATTCTATTTCAGGCAAGACAAGCGTTTTTGTATTGACACAGAGAATCAGGAAACTAGTTTACCGGTAAATACGGTACGGGGGATAAGAGTGCTATTCAAAAACTAATATAACATCAAGCGGTTTCACCAAGTGCTTCTATTTTGAGAAATGGATGCAATTGTAAGCTGGCGTAAAATAAAATACACGTGCACATTTTCTCAGCAACAGTTGCAATATGGTAACACCATGGGGCCACGCCCCCTCACGAACAGGGATACACTATGAACCTACTGTAAACATAGCGCTACGTTTTTCGTCGCTTTAAGAGTCTGCTTTGTTGGGAATGCGGAGGTTCCCATCAGACTGTCAGCAACAGATGTACACTAATAAAAACACTGGCTCTGTGTAATAGGATTGAAACGTCTTTTTCCTCATAACAATTTCACGGGTTTTTATACTTACGTTTTTCCCCTTTTTGTCACTTTTTTTTCTAGCTATCGAGATTCCTTTAGTTGCAAATATTTTCACATTAGTCGTCGATGAATCATATATACGAATTTCAAATTTCTTTTTCACTTTTTATTTTTTTAAACGAATTTGAGAAAATAATTTTCTTGGCTTTGTATGAATGTAGCAGATATGTACGTTAGATATATAGTAGCTTTGATGCATCGGACGGGGTATTTCCGATAGCATCAAGTTTTAAGTAAACAGGATACAACGAAAAGATAGATTTAATTATTTCCTAAAACCATTCGATTGCCCTGTCCTGTCCAAGTACCGACTGTCCCTCTCCCGAGAAGCCGGCGTCTAAACATTTCTGAAATTTGGCAGGTGCAGATTTGTTGTAAGAAAATTAGAACAAATACAAGTTTGGAAAGACCCACTTTTAAATGTATACTTTAACAAATGAAATATGTCTAGTCAGTTATATCAATTCACTTCTAGGCAAGCCACAGCTGTCCGTGAACCGGTCAACAAATCTTAAAAATCAGTAAACAAACGGACGTTACTCTAGGACAGGCAGTCTACAGGAACTCTATAGACTGAAAATAGTTGTGTATGTAAATACAAATGTTTTTCTTACATATTTATGTATACCTCTCTGTCATCAACGGTTACCCCTTGTAACCAATGGTTACTCTGTTATACATGGTTACTCTCTGCTGCCAGTGGTTACTCTGTGTTGTATAGATAATCCACGTTACCAATAATGACTGTGTTTCCAATGACTACCCTATGTGGTTACTCTGGTTCCAAAGGTGAACCTTTGCTACTAATGGTCACTCTATGCTATATATGGTTACTCTATACTATACATGGTCACTCTATGCTATATATGGTCCCTCTATGCTATATATGGTTGCTCTATGCTATATATGGTCCCTCTATGCTATACATGGTCACTCTATACTATATATGGTTACTCTATACTATACATGGTCCCTCTATGCTATATATGGTTGCTCTATGCTATATATGGTCCCTCTATGCTATATATGGTCCCTCTATGCTATACATGGTCACTCTTTGCTATAAATGGTCACTCTATGCTATACATTATCAATCAATGCTATATATGGTCACTCTATGCTATACATGGTTACTCTATGCGATACATGGTCACTCTATGCTATACATTATCACTCTATGCTATACATGGTCACTCTATGCTATACATGGTCCCTCTATGCTATACATGGTCACTGTATGCTATACATGGTCACTCTGTGCTATATGTGGTCACTCTATGCTATACATTATTACTCTATGCTATACATGGTTAATATTTGATATACATGGTCCCTCTATGCTATAATTGGTCACTCTATGCGATACATGGCCACTCTATGCTATACATGGTCATTCTATGCTACACATGGTCAATGTATGCTATACATGGTCACTCTGTGCTATATGTGGTCACTCTATGCTATACATTATTAATCAATGCTATACATGGTCACTCTATTCTATACATTATCAATCAATGCTATTACATGGTCACTCTATGCTATATATGGTCCCTCTATGCTATATATGGTCACTATATGCTATAAATGGCCACTCTATGCTATACATGGTCATTCTATGCTACACATGGTCAATGTATGCTATACATGGTCACTCTGTGCTATATGTGGTCACTCTATGCTATACATTATCACTCTATGCTATACATGGTCACTGTATGCGATCCATGGTCAATCTATGCTATAAATGGTCACTCTATGATATACATTATCAATCAATGCTATTACATGGTCACTCTATGCTATACATGGTCACTGTATGCGATACATGGTCAATCTATGCTATAAATGGTCACTCTATGCTATACATGGTCACTCTTTGCTATAAATGGTCACTCTATGCTATACATTATCAATCAATGCTATACATGGTCACTCTATGCTATAAATGGTCACTATATGCGATACATGGTCACTCTATGCTATACATGGTCACTCTTTGCTATAAATGGTCACTCTATGCTATACATGGTCACTCTTTGCTATACATGGTCACTCTATGCTACACAAGGTCACTCTATGCTATACATTATCACTCT